CATGACACGACACACAGCTGGAGGCTTGGAGCTGGTGGCCATCCAGGGGGAGAAAGGGCGGCTGTGCGTGGGCTCGGCGCGCAGGGCGCCTGCAGATTGCACTTTGGGGTGAGGGGCAAAGAGAAAAGGGGGGCAAAGCTGAGGTTGCTGCTGCCACAGGTGGGTGTCGGCGTGGGGAGCCTGGGGGCCCCGCCTGGGAGTGCTGGGACCCCAGGGTGGCAGGTGGGCACAGGCCGGACAGCGCAGGAAGGGCTCTGGCCGGAGGTGGCTCTCAGGCCCGGGCACCAGTGGAGGCGTCAGCCGGCTGGAAGCAGGTGCCCAGGCGACGGCAGGTGGGCAGCAGGGAGGGGCCCGCGCTCGGAGCCAGGGGGCCCCGAGGAGGAGCGGTGGGGGCAGTGGGCAGGGCGGCCACGCCCCGGGACAGGGCGGGGTCCAGGGCAGTGGGGACAAAGCAGAGCGGGGACCCTCTCCCGCAGCCTGCGGTGGGGGCACGGGTTTTGCGGGAGTGGGGGTTGCGGTGGGGGTGGGGGGCCAGAGGGGAGGGGCTTCCAGCGAGAACGCCCCCTTCCCGAAGGACCGGCAGTTAGGGGAGGTGGGGTGGGCCCCGAAGCGCGGGCGGCCCAGGGAGCTTGGCAGAGGGCAGTGGGGGCTCGTGGCCGTGGGTCGTGGCCACTGGACCAGGTTTGCCCCCGCGCCCTGGCGGTCACAGGGAAGGAGCGCGGAGACCTGAGAGGACGCTGCACCGCCTGGAGCTGAAGCAAGCAGGGCCCGCTGCCCTCCTGAAAGGCGGGAGAAGCCCCCTGCTGCCCCGAGGGCCAGTGAGGACCCGGCAGGACAGAGCCTGGGTTCTGGGCTCCCCCCACTAACAACGTGGTCATTAAACAGAGATAGTGAGGGCTACTGAGAACTGGGGTGTCACTGAGGGAGCCCCGCTCTCGGCGAAGACGCCAGGTTGCCGGAGACGCTGGACCCCTCAGAGAGAGCGAGAACGGGGTGCTGTCCACGGGGCGGACGCGGTCAGTCCCTCAGGGTGATGTGACGTCCCCTGGGGGGTGCCCCCGCCCCTCACCCCAGCCCTTGCCTCTAAGGTTTGGCCGCAAACCGTGTCTGCTGAGCACGACCCTCGTCACCGCGGCCTCGGGCGTCCTCATGGCCATCGCCCCCGACTACACCTCCCTGCTGCTCCTGCGCCTGCTGCAGGGCCTGGTCAGCAAGGGCAGCTGGACGGCCGGCTACACGCTGAGTGAGCACCGGGCAGGGCGCCTGGGCCAGGGGCTGGCGGGCGGTGGGGCGCGGAGCGGCAGCTCGTGGGCGTGGCCGGGGCAGACTGGCCGCTGCGCGGCGGTCTGAGCGGGCAGGGCCCGGGAGGCGGCCCTTCTGCGCTTGCGCGGGAGATGCTCGCCGCTGTCCGGTAGCAGCCAGCCTGTCTGGGAGCAAGAGTACCCCGGACCCCGACGGACCCCCGGCGTGCTCCCAGCAGGGCAGGCAGGGGACTGCGACGTGGACAACGGGAACCACGTCTCCCTGGAGAGCTAGCGAGTGGCCAGGGCTGAGGGGACAGCACAGCTGCGATTACAGTGACCCCGCGGGCCCCCCCTGCCCCTGCGCCCCTGCAGCTGCTGGCTTGTTTTTGCCCTCAAAGTTTCTTGATGGGAGGAGCACAAAATGAACAACCTCGAGGGGCCCTGGCAGAGCGGCCGAGCACTCTCCAGTAGGCACAGGCCAGGGCCGCTGACCAGGCGGGGCCCCCTGACCACCGCGGGCGAGGTGGGCGCTGGGCACATTTGGGGCTCACTCTCCCGTCTGTAGCCACTAAACCCGTGCCGTTTTCGGGCTCAGCTCTCACGGGCTTGAACCCCCACTTTGGGTGTGATACGCTCTGGCAGTGGCAGCTGCTGATGGCCAGCGAGGGGCTCCCCTCGGGCGGCGAGCAGAGGGGATGCGCGAGGCGTATGGGCCCTGAGCGGGACGGGGTGAGGGAGGACAGCCCCCCGCGGGGGCCGACGGCGGGTGGCCGGGGCGGGCCAGGAGGCTGCCTCTCCGCTGGCTGGTGGAGCCCGGTGGTGACCCCCTCCCGTTTCAGTCACAGAGTTCGTGGGCGCGGGCTGCAGAAGGACGGTGGCCGTCCTGTACCAGGCGGCCTTCACGGTGGGGCTGCTGCTGCTGCCCCCCGCGGCCTACGCGCTTCCTCGCTGGCGCTGGCTCCAGATGGCCGTCTCCCTGCCGGTCTTCCTCTTCCTGCTCTTCTGCTGGTACCTCCGCGGGGCCCCATCCCCACGCCCGCTATGGCTGGCCTAGTGCCCCACAGGCCCGGGGTCAGCTGGGTCGCATTTGGGGTGTCGTGACACTCCACGGGGTGCTCAGCCTCTTCCGTCCCCACCCTGGTCCGACAAGGACCCCCTGGCCGCAGAGGGGGCTTGCGTTGGGGTGCATGAATGGATGACGAGTGAACTGACTGAGGCTGCGGGCGGGCGGGCGGGCGCTCCCCTGCGCTGGGCGCTGGGCAGGCCCTAGGGCAGCCTCCCGCAGGGCGTTTCCACCGCCGGAGAGCAGAGAGGGGCCGTCTCGTGGGCCTTCAGCCAGGTTTGCTGAGGACGAGGCTTCCCTGGGCCGGCACCAGGCAGCCGCGCTCCCCAAAGACGCTGGGCTCGAAGGCTGCCCGCACCGTGCGGGCCTGCTCGGTCCCTGTCGGGGTGGACAGGGGCCCGGGGACAGGCCCCCCCGTTTGCTGCTCTCCTCTGCGGTGCAACTGTAAAAAGCTTTAGTTGTGATGTTCTGAGGGGCCACTGGTTCGCAACACCGTGTGTGATTTCGAGGTGAAGCCACGTGAGATGCCAGCCCCTCCCTGTGGCACCGCTCCCACGCCCGCACGAGGTGCCCGGACCCCCCGCGGTGCACTGCGGGCTCCCCGCCCTCCCCTCGTCCTCCACTGCCCGGCTCCTCTGGGTCGCCATTGGCCTGCTTATCTGGCCCTTGCTTTTTCTCTAGAAGCCACATGTGAGTGGGGCGCCAGGTTTGGCTTCCCCTCCTGACGGGCGTCCCTGAGCCCCCCCCGCCAGCTCCGGCCACGTTGTCGGGAAAGACGGGGTCTGGCTTTTTTTTTTTTAAATTTATTTTTTCATACAGAACTGGGGTACAGGCTAGAGATGCAGAGGGTGAGAGAATTCACCAGGGACAGAGTGGGGAGCAGAACAGGCAGATGGATGAAGCACACTGCTGAGGGGAGCAGCGGGTGGGTCAGGAGAGGTCTGCCGCGCCATGTGGTGACCTCCGGGGCAGGCGGGGATCGAACTCATGCGGAAGTGGCTTTAGCTTCTCAGTGCAGTGCTTTAACCCGCTGCGCCCCCAGGGAGGGCCCAGGCTTTTTACCAGCATGTCCCGAGGACCGTCCCCCTGTGGCGGGGCGCTGTCCACGCGCCCAAGCCGGCGGGCCCTGTCCTGCACACCCTCCGGCACCGGCTCTGGGCTCCCGCAGGCCTGCGCTCGGCGTGAGGCGGCCCCCCGTGTGGCTTCGCTTGTATTTCCACGACGCTCAGTGGCGAGACCCCACTCCTGCGGCCAGCTGCGGCCTTCTTCGGAGAAGTGGCTCTCTAGCGGGCTGCCTGCCAGAGCCCCGGGCCCCGAGCCGGGACGCCTCTGTCCAGCTGGACACGGATGGCGCAGGGTCTGAGGGGGCCAACGGGGTGAAGTGTTTGTCTCTTTGGAAAGAACCTGAGACCTGTTCAGCGGCCTTAGCGTGACACGCAGACATCCTGCCACAACGCAAGTGGGTGCCTCTAAAGTGGAGGGCATCTTCCTGGGGCCAAGCCGTGAGGTGCAGTGAAGTCCCCCCAAGAAAGCGGCGGCTCCTCTGGGCTCTGATATCAGCCGGCGGCCCCAGGCTGGCCGCCGCGGCTCCCCTGGTGCCCAGGGCCCCAGCTGGAGGCGGGGGTGGGTGGCACAAGCAGCAGCTTCTGGAGACGCCCAGCCGGACGCTGCCTGCAGGTGTATGCCCGAGTCCCCGCGGTGGCTGCTGTCACAGAGGAGAAACGCCCAAGCCGTGAGGACGCTGGCCCGCATCGCCCAGGAGAACGGGAGGCCGCCCCCTGCGGACCTGAAGGTGCCGAGGCGGCGGGGCTCTGGCCCCTGAGCCGGGCGGCGCTTGTGGTTGAGATGGGCCGGGCCGCCCAGGGCGTGGGGGTGCTGGGGGCTGGGGTGGCGGCTGGGGGCAGACATGGGGTGGCTGGCCTTGCTGGCTGGGTCCCTTCACCCCGGGGGCCTCCCTGCCCTGGGGAGCACATGTGGCTGATGGCCCAGCGCCTCCTAGATGCTCTGTCTCGGTGAGGACGTCCCTGAGAAGCTGAGGCCTGCGCTGGCAGACCTGTTCCGCACGCGGCGCCTGAGGCGGTACACCTGCATCCTGATGTACCTGTGGTAAGGGCGCTCACCTGCCTCCCCATGCACCCGCAGTCAGGGGCGCTCACCTGCCTCCCCATGCACCCGCGGTCAGGGGCGCTCACCTGCCTCCCCATGCGCCCGCGGTCAGGGGCGCTCACCTGCCTCC